CTCCAACTAAGAGCCGAAAACTGAAGGGCTCTTTGGAATAGGTGTCGCCAAACCACAACTTCAAAAGAAGTTTCTGAATGCCTAATAGAACTCCGTGCATGTAGTCTATTCCCATTCCCGCAACAATGTCAAAATTCTCCAGAAATAAAAGCCAGGATGGCCTGTTTACTCCTTTTACTGCATATTGTTTCTGGCCAGATTGAAGGTTCATCAATGCTTCATAAGAGTGCTTTATAGTATCCTGTTTATTTCTCAATGGGCCCTTCAGATTATCCCTTATATATGTAAACATTTTTGTGTGGCCTCGAATACCAATTTTTTCTGTTCTTCCTTATTGAAGGCATTTCCAACAGCCATATTCTGCATTAGACTGCAGGCTTTTACACACCAAACACCTGGCAGGGAGGTCACAACTCCCGGCTAGAAGAAAAGCTCTACATAAAAACTTGCCTCTTTCTGAAGACTCTACTGTAATACCCTTCCCATTAACAGAAGTTCTTCATACAAGGGTTTCAAAAAAGTTGCCATAGCGGACTTTTTGTCCCCGAACCGGAGCCCGGCAAAAATCATGTTTTCTTTTGCCATCCTTTTCTCATGCAGTAGTTCACTGATCACCAGAAATAAGGGCCATACTGAAACTTTTGAAGATTTAAAAACTGGTACTCCATCCGTGTTAAAAAGGAAGGAAATGTTATCTCTGCTGCTCAATATACCTTCATTTATGAGACCTTTGTAAAGTTTCCCATCATAAATGTCCTCGATGTTAGNAAAACTGGTACTCCATCCGTGTTAAAAAGGAAGGAAATGTTATCTCTGCTGCTCAATATACCTTCATTTATGAGACCTTTGTAAAGTTTCCCATCATAAATGTCCTCGATGTTAGAAGGTTCATTTTTCTTTCTGTTAAAACAATGCTGTAAGGAAGTGTAGAAACTAGGTCCTTTAAAAAACATCTGCAACTGCTCTGCAATAGGAAAATAAAGAAAGTAGCTACGGGCACCTTTGGGTCTCAAATCTCGGTGCAAAGCAAAAAGAACAGAACTAATGAAAATTGACTGGACTGTTCAGATTTCGAAAATAAGCTTTGAAACTCTTTAGCGTAGATGGCAAGTTGTGATCAGGAAGTAACCCTAAAGAAAGCAGTGTAAGTAAATGTGCAATGGCTTCCCCAGGCAGATGATATTTGACTGTAAACAAAGCTAACAAAGTCATCATAGCAGGAATTGTTAGTTGAGACTTGCCACAATCGGGTTGATCATCGTTTGTGGATTGACTACTCTCAAGGACTGGTATTGATGGAATGGGGAAAGTTTGCAAATGTTCATTGGTTTGTGAATTGATAGTTAAGTTATCGTCAAATTCCTCCAACTCATACATACACTCGTCATCATTATTCGGATCATCGTTTTCGGTCAGCAACACATTAGCGTGACTTTCATCCCACATGCAATCAGCTGCTTCGGTGTTTTCATAATCTTCAGGTGATTCATTCATGACAGAGTGATCTGCATTCAGCAAACTGTGAAACAACGATGCTTCAATTTCAGTGTATTCCTCCTCAATAGTTCCATTCTTGAGGAAAACAGTTTCTTCCAAATCTTCGATGACCTCAGCTTCTGTTTCTAAATTGATAACTGTTTCGCAGGCAGCAGGTGTTTGTTTCATCTTGC